AGGTGTTGTGTTTAGCAGAAACGGGATGCTTGCAGTGAGGAATGAGCAACGAGAGAAAATCAACAGGTGTGTCATGTAGCCTGGGTGCTAGACTTTTTCAAAGGCCTGCACAGGCCAGCTCCTCGGCTCCAGGGCCTACACAGGTCCAGTTCCTCGGCTCCAGGGCCTACACAGGCCAGCTTCTCGGCTCCAGGGCCTACACAGGCCAGCTCCTCGGCTCCAGGGCCTACACCCCTGACCCTCGATTCCAGGGCCTACACAGGCCAGCTCCTCGGCTCCAGGGCCTACACAGGCCAGCTCCTTTTCAGGCAAAACATATACATTTTGGGACCTGAAAATTGGTATGGGGATACTTTGGACACATCTCTACAGATCGCTACCGAGCTTCTGACATACATCACAAATTGTGTAAAAAAATAAGGGGATTTTTTCTTACTATTTTCGAAAAAAAAATGTACATATTTGGCTCCTGTGCCCTGCTAATAAATCTGAATGACCTGAACTTCGGCATAGGAAGGGCCGGTACCAACCTTTTAAATTACTCTTTTTTTTACCTTATTTTAGGTAAAAATAGCGATTGTAGCTTGAAAACCCAAATCTCCAAACTGACAGTTCTAAGACAGCGGAAGGCGTTAAAAGATCCTTTTGCTGCATGAAGGTATAGACTATTGGAACACTTTACATTTTGGACAGGGGTAATTTAGGAACAATCCATTTCGTGCAGGTGGGGGATAGGTCCATTTTTGGTACGGGGGACGTGGTGAAGCCATTTGCTGCATTTTCTCCCGAGCAAATGTCGGCCTTGCTAGTTATCATATAATTTTGTACGTATGGTGCTAGCAGGTCTGATCTTTAAGATATTTAGAAATTATGAATATAAAATGGTCACGTATTCACCCCATCTAGCAAGTTTCTAGTATTTTGTCTTTATTCTTTCTTAATTTTAATCTTCATTCTCTTAATCTTTATTGAGATTGCAAGACAATACAAATATTTGCATTATACAGCTACCACATTAGGGTAAACAACTTAAATACAATCAAATACCGATAACTAGATTCAGATATATCGAATGCAATATAGCTATTAAATTGTCGACAACCAAAGAAGTGGGAGGGGGGTCTTGGGCGTCTCTACTGAATGTGTATACGGCAGAGTTAAAGCATTCGCACATGTTTGTACAATTCGCACACGTTTGTACAAATGTGAACAAACACAGGTTTTTACACGTGTGAATAGATGCGTTTGATTTGCTGCTTACCAGCACAGATTACCTCTTCTCCCACGCAAATATGTCTGGCTCTTGCAGAAAAGCAAAATGCCATGCCATTGCATCATGCCATGTGATTCTTCCAAATAAGAGCAAGTGTAGCCTTACTTCTTCAGACACAGATTTAAAGTCACACACTGCGCAACAATACAGCTTGCACATTTCGATCGAAATGAACGGGCAAGGAAAGGCTGTCCGGCCGCCTGTCTCCGGCCCCGACAGCCCCCAAAGCAGCGAGCCGCCGCCCCAACCCCGTCCCGTCCAGCAGAGTGGTTCACGCGGGCGTGTCCGCCACGGCAACGGCGCTTCTGACCAGCAGCGGGAAGACCAGGACACGTCTTCACACACATACGAAGACGTCGATGGCGTGAAACGTCACGCAACGTCTGCAGGTAAGGAACCAGCCTTTTACAGTAGATATTTGTGCAATAAGAAAATAATTTCCCGTAGAAAAGGAATATGATCACTGACTATTGCATACTTTGCTGTATGGTTAAATTTGATGGCAACAAGAAATCTGACCCTAGCAGATCGCTCGTTGAGCCTTCCTTTGTTTGGAAAAAAATTGTTTAAAACTGTACGCCCCTCCCCAACTACTTACCTTAGTTCCGGTCCCGGTACTCCTGTGCTGTCCTGTACACGTTTTCGCCTCGGCACGCACAGTCTAAATCAAAGCTTATTCTCTCGTAATTTAGTTTCAAGTCCAGCTTGTTCCTGTGGTCACCCATGTGAAAACATTAGTCACTTTTTGTTACACTGCCCTAACTACACTCAACAACGAAATACCCTTTTTGGCAACTTGAAAATACCGATTGGCTTTATTACTGACTTGGATGATCTTTCAGATGGTATTCTGGTACATTTACTTTTAAGAGGTTAATCTTTTCTGTCAACAATGTACAATATCAAATACTGCTGCATTTGCAGATCTAGACTTTTTTGTTGGAATCAAATCGTTTCTTGTAGTGTCTTGCTCGATCCTGTCGGTGTTTATGTATGTGTTTCACTAGGTTATAGATTGTTCGTACTTTAAAGACTGATTGTATGAAACCCACGCTTTGCTTGCTTGTATAACGTATTGTCTGGTGGCTACATGAATATTTCGTAGTGTAACTTGAGTTTGTCGCCCCCACGGCTTGTCAAAAAATCTGCAGTCTTAACGGTACGCTTGTAAAATTCATGAAGAGGGTTCGCCAACGATCTCGCACCGGTGGGCGTTTGGTGCTTCGTCAAAGGTTTGTTTGTTTCGCTTAACCGGTAAACCGCCTTTAGGCGTAACACACCAGTTTTGTACATACAAGCTGCGTAAGACCGGACTGTAAGGTTTTGAACCACTCACATCGGGAAGATCCCCTACTCTTTTCGATAAGTGCGGTAGGTTCTTTAACGTGCATGGGGTGTGGCTCTCCCAAACACGGGACCTCCATTAACGTCCTATCCGAGGGACGTCCCTAACCGAAGCTAGGTACTGATTTCCACCTGAGTTAAGTGAGCAAAGTCGTGTAAAGTGCCTTTTCCTGCCCGCTGTACGAGCACAGCATCTCTGCCTACCAGTCAGTAACGTAGGGACCCCCCCCCCCGAAGGCAACTTTTGGACGATTACTTTTGGCGTAGACGAACACCCTATATATATCTTCCTGCATGACTTTATTATGTTTACCGAAGGAAAACATATTATATTTGCTCATTTCCTCCTCCTCTTCCTCTTCCTCTTCTCCAAACACCTAAAAATCGTAGATATTTTCGTAATTACAGCTTGGAGGAAAATGAAATTCAGCATGCTGGTAGGTTGGTACGTTAGACATTGAACCTTGGTCATTTT